TGGGGCTACCAGAGATTTTGTCTTTAAAAAGTATACACACAGCTGGGCGTGGTGGTGCACACCTTTAATCCCAGCACTTGGGAGGAGAGGCAGGCGGATCTCTGTGAGTTCAAGGCCAGCCTGGTCTACATAGTGAGTTCCAGGACAGCTAGAGCTACAGGGAGACCCTGTCTCAAAAAGACCAAAAAAAAAAAAAAGAATGAAGTTTCTGAAATTATATTGTGCATACAATATACACATATAGTGTACATGGAGGTGGAATTAAGAGAAAGAAATTCTTTTTAATTTGTTATTTTTATTTTTAGGTGTATGCGTGTATTGCCTGCATGTATGTAAGTGCACCCATGTTGTGCAGTGCCCATGGAGGTCAGAAGAGGGCATCGGATTCCCAGAATGCTGGAGTTATGGACAGTTGTTAGCTGCCATGTGGGTGCTGGGAATCAAACCCGGGTCCTCTGCAAGAGCAGCCAGTGCTCTTAACTCCTGTGCCATCTCTCCAGTCCCAGGGGAGAGGAAATTTATTAACTTGATTTGACTACTGTTTGACTTTCAAAAAGCAGCAATGTAAAATTGAAATAAAAGCAATAAAATAAAACAGACAGTTACCTGCCAGACAGAAACAGTGCTCCCAGCAGTCAGCATGGGACCATGCTGGGTGGAGGTGGGGTAACTGCCTCAGCACAGCTGCCCCACATCTTTGTGCCAGTGTGTGTGTATTGATTTGTAATAAGCACAAACAACCAATGAGTGTTAGAATTGAGTCTTTCCAGCTGCTAAACCTTCTCTGGTACTCCTGCAGTAAGACTGTATCATTCACCCCTGACAGGTGTCATCTGTCAGCCCTTCTAGTACGAGCCCACAAATTTACAACCCTCTACCCCAACCTTCCTTTCAGCCTCTGACCGCTCTGTGCCCTGGCTGGGCTTTTGTCTCAGGCCAGTCTCATTCTGAAGCCATGTCCCTTCACTGTTCTGAATCCTAGATTCCACAATGGATCCAAGATACCATGTCTTTTTGTTCCTGTCAGAAAGAGGGTGGTTTTGTTGGCTCAAGTCACCCTTGCTGTGGTGGAACTACATGTAACGGGCTGAATGTCTCTCAAATTCATTTTGAAATCTAATATTCAAGCATTAGGGGCCCACCTGGGCTTTTGGGAGATGAGGTCGTCAGCGTGGAGCCCTCATGAATGGGATGAAAGAGAGCCCAGAGAGTTCTTTCTGCTTTTTCTGCCATGTGGGGATGCTGAGAGGCCACTGTCTATGTGTGAACCCAGAAGGGGGCTGTCACCAGAGCCCAGCCACCCCAGAACTCCAGAGAGTTGCAAAACCATCCTTTATAACTGTTACCTTTCTCAACACCTCCCCCTCAATTCACTTGTCTTGAAAGTTGCAGCAACTGTTATTTATTAAAAGTGGGGGCAACTGGTTGGGCTGGGGAGAAGATTTGGGGAAGACTTCCACCTCTCCAAAGTCATAGGGCACCACACTCTCAGGCTGGATTCACAACTTTGCCCATGAACAGACTGCTCCACGTGAAGTGGTCAAAAACCTGGATGATGAAGGGCTGGTTGAAGCTGATGGTGAGTGGGTCAGATGCCAGGCTTAGGGGGACCCCTCTGGTGACAGCAGGTCCTATACCGTCCTCATCAAGCTGCAGCACGGCCTTGTGGATCACCTGAGAGGAACACACCAGAGGCAGGAGATGAGTCTCTTCCATGGGTCATGTGAACCCCTTACCTCCTGCTCCATAAAGAGTGAGGCAGAGGTGCCCAGAGCATCATGTGCTGGCTCCTTGGCTGAGCAGCAGCCCTTGAGTACCCTCAGGTGTATCCACCTCCAGACCTCAGGTTGCACATACACTTTCTCCCTGCTGGTGGGGCAGGCTGTACCCTCCACACAGAGGTCAGGGGAACCAGGTCTCTAAGTTCATCCCTGGTGTGCAGGATAGCTTTAGTGTCAACTTGACACACCTGGATTGAGGGAGCCTCAATTGGTAGGATAGCTTTAGTGTCAACTTGACACACCTGGATTGAGGAGCCTCAATTGGAGAATTGCCTCCTTTGGACTGGCCTGTGGCCAGGTCTATGGGGCATCTTCTTGATTAATGAGTGATGTGGGAGGGCCCAGCCCACTGTGGGTGGTGCCACCCCTGGGCAGGTGGGCCTGTGTTGCATAAGAAAGCAGGCTGAGCAGGGGCCAGAGGAGCAAGCCAGTAAGCAGTGATCCTCCTTGGCCTGTGCTCCAGCTCCTGTCTCCAGGTTCCTGCCCCGAGTTCCTACCTTGGGCTCCTTGATTAACTGTGACCTGGGATATGTAAGCTGAATAAATCCTTTCTTCCCCAAGTTGGTAGTGGTCAAAGTGTTTGTCATAGCAATGGAGAAACAAACCAGGACACCTGGGAACTTCTTACCATGTCCCAGGCTTTGGGAGACCTCTCTATTCACTCAGCTAGGGAAAACACCAGAATAGAGCTTAGGCAAAGTACTTACGGAAAGCCCAGGCAGAAGCTCAAATACATATCTTTGATGGTTGATTTGTTCTTTTTGTGATTAAAGTTAGGTGGAATTCTGAAATCAATTAAATGGTTGATGCGCTGGTTTCTTTCTTTTGGGGGGATTTATTTATTTTTATTTTATGTGTATGAATATTTTCCCTGCTTTTATATAAGTCATGCAGTGCCCACAGATCCCAGAAGAGGGCATCAGAGCCACTGGAACTGGAGTTATGGATAGTTGTTAGCTGCCCTGTGAGTTCTGGGAATCTAACCCAGGCTCAAGCCAGTGCTCTTAATCATTGAGCCACCTCTCCAGCGCCAACTACCTGGTTTCTAAAATTTTGATAGATCACAACCCGGAAACTAAACAATAGGCGGCATTCAGCGCACTCCCAGCATTTCATGGGGTGGACCCTCTTATCCGCTCTACCTCATAGCAAACCTCTGAGGCTCTGGGTGAGCCTATGTGATAGGCTCCTGTGGCTGGGTGAAGGTTGAGCTGGGATTGGAACTGCCACAGCGGATGTGAGATTTTCAGTTAACATATCCAAGGTCAAATGTTGGATTGTTTTGTTTTATTGTTTTGCCAGCTTTGTGACTATGGCAAACTCTTCATCCTCTTTGGTTTCTCCGAGAAATTGGAATAGTGCCCACCTCCTATATAAACTTGATGCTCTTGTCAATAACCTGTAGGGCTGAGGACACTTGATCCTCCATACTTCTAACATTGTTATACTGAATAGATTCCTCTCCTGTATTCACACAGACACACACAGACACACACACACAGACACACACACACACACACACACACACACACGAAGCAGCTGTGTGTTGCTGTGTAGGTTCAGTCTGCTCATACAGAACATTTTACTGAGCTCATATTTTAACTGAGCAAACACTTCCATGATACCAATGCCCTTGTGTTTTGAGGACAGAGGCCACATCTCACATCTGAGTAATGGAACATATCCAGGTCCTAGCACAGGCTGGGGTACACAGTAGGTGCCCAGTAAGAATTTCTGAATGAACTTATGAGTCGAGAACCTTGAACTGAAGAATGATGACTGCACTGAGTGGAAGGCTAATGGGACCTTCACCACGTCCCCTTTTTGTCAGGGGCTGTTCACACTTCAGCCATGACAACCTAGTTTTCCAGTGTCCCCTCTGTGTGACCTGATGGGATGGGTAGACACCTGGGCTGTGACCCTCGCTTGTCACTAGCTTCCTATATGAATGGTTCCTTGCTGAGCATCTCTTTACCTCCCTGTGGTGGGGCTTGGACTTGAGGGTCTCAGTCTGTGGCTACTGAATTCACAAATGTGCTGTGTTACTGTTATAATTTTTAGTGTGAATTTTGGAGGAAAAAAATGATAGGCTTCCAAGACACTTACCTTTGATATCTTCAGTGGAGCGTCCTGAGTGATGCCTGAGAAATCTGACTGGTTGGTGAACAAATCTGCAATGCCCATGTCTACCAGCACACGTTCAAGGTCATAGGTGCCAGAGATGGAGATTTTGGGGATGTACAGGTTTACCTGCCTGCTCGGGGGGTAAGCAGAAAAGGTCAGAGGGTCCAAAGTCATGTGGGCCGTGGACAGCAACTTATCTTTTCCAAGAGAGATATCTTTTTTGTTCCCCACCTAGCCTGACCCACTCAGTGAGGACAGGGTAAGAGAAATTTCTCCATTGTATGTGAAGCTTCTTCTTTGGGCCTTTGAATTGCCCCCAATTAATTTCTTCTGAGTGAGTCTTTTGAGCTAACTGTATCTGTGATATAGCTGGACCACTGATCAGTCCTTATGGTCTCCAAAGAACCTTCTATCAGAAGAAGAATAATGGAGAGAGTACCCAGTCAGGACCACTGCTCCTGGCCCCAGCTATGTAAATAATGCCAGTGTCCCTTTAGTCACATCCTGTCCCCTCTGTGCTAATATCCTCATCACATATGGTTCAGCTTATATAAGGTTGAGGACTGTGATGGTTAACCTTCATCATCAATATGACTAGACCAGCTATCTCACTGTCCTGCCACCAGGCCTTCCCACCAAGATTGACTGACTCTATCCCCTCTTAAGCCATGAGCCAAAGTGAAACCTTCTTCTATTAAGAGAAGCCCTGGAGTTCTGTAATCATAATTGATAGATCAATCTGGTGGGCGTGCAGAAGACTAGAACATTAGAAATTAGAAGACTAGAAGTTGGGAAAGTGAAGCCCTGGGTCACAGGGTTTCCAATGGGATGGAGGACTATATGGGACTCGGACTATAGACCATTCACATCACACATGGTAGAAAATGTGGCTGGGTTTTCCATATATTGGCATTACACTTAAATTGCAGGACCCCTTTGGGGGATAAGGATAGGTGGTAGATGAGGATGGGAGCAGTTAACAGGATGAAGATCTGGCAGTTGGATCCTTGACATCTCCCAAACACAGACTCACATCACACATGGGTATGTTCCCTGCATTTGGGTAGTTGGGGAGCTGTGTCCCTCATAGGAGATCTCTCTGAAGCACGGAACTGGCCACACAACTCCTTCCATAAATGATCTCAGACTTTCAGGCACTTCCACACCCACCCACAGAATGGAATGGAATTAGCCTCTTCAGAAGCACCAGCTCTTTCTGAGCTCGTAATTCAAAAGAAAAACA